GGCGGTGGAGGTGGGGATGCTGGTGGTGGTGGTGGTGGTGGGGATGGGGGTGGTGATGGCGAGTGAGGGGGCGGCGGGATGAATGAAAAGCATGGCAATTCGTTCCGTGTTGTTCGCTGGAATGCCTAGACTGCCTTGCCTTCAATCCGGGAGAGTGCGTGCAGGCAGGGATTTGCATGTGCATGTCCACTCTGCGGTTCACCCCTGTCTGTCTGACTGTCTGCCTGTCTGTATTGATTGGCCGCTCTGTGTGCATGACTTCCTAAGGCAGTCGGTCTACTTTGGTGAAGTGGTGTAATGTGGGCGAATGATGCACTGCCAACTAACTCTCTCTCTCTCTCTGGGTCTCTCTCTGGCTCTCGATCTCGCTCTCTCTGTGCTGGGGTGTAAGGGGAGGGGGCGTCGTGTATGCCCATGCATGCCGGTGAGCGCGTCAAACGGCCAAGGAATGCTGCTGCTTCGTGCGCGTGTGGTGGGTGGGGCGGTGGGCTGGTTTTTAAGCCCACACGAATTGTATCGGTATTCACGTTTCCTATCCTGCTGCTGCTGCTGCAGCTCTCTGGTTTGATGTATTTTATGAATCTGGTGCAGCCGCAATTAGCTGGTTTATTACACGTGTCTGTCGGTTGTGTGCGTGCGGTGCGGTTGCGGGGTTGTGGCAGCTACAAGCGAGGGCTGCCATGCGTGTGCATTTGACGGGTTGGCGGACAGTACACAGTTGACGGATTGATGTGGTGAATGTCCTCATTCAAGTGTCTCCTACAGAAACAAATACTGTGTCTGTCACATCTGTTTTACAGACACTTGTGAGAGATGCGGCTTGAGTGGCTTGACAGGTGCGTGTCGGTGGGGCAGCACACCGATGAGGACAAGCAGACGGGCGCCACGGCATTCATCTTCCATCGGCCCATGCAGGGCGCTCTGGTGCTCTGCGGCAGCGCACCCGCATCCAGAGAAGCACTCGCACTCCAACCAGGTCAAACCGCTCTAGCTACTGCGGGCACAGACACACACAGAGAGAGGGCTTATAACAAAGCACAGCAGATCACGTTACGATGAATGAATCACTGAATCAATGACTCATTTATTGTGCGTCCCGATCTGTGTGCCTGTCTGTCTGCAGGCTGTTCTGTGTCTGGTCTGCACGGTCTCCTTTTCGCTGGCGGGAGCGCATTTGGACTCGATAGGTCATCACACACACACATACACACACACGGTGGTGCCTCTGCCAATGCGGGTGTGCATTTGATGTGTGTGTGTGTGTGTGGTTGGTTCGTGCAGTTGCGCCGGATTGTTGAGGTGGCAGCGTGAGCACCAGCGGGGCGTGTCCACGGTGGGCGGCGTCGTCCCCGTGTGCCCTGCAGCGTGCATCTATGACCTCAACAGCGGCACGCCCGAGCCGCCCACGGCAGACGATGTCTACAACGCTGTAAGCAGACCGCACACACCCAAAGAGAGAGGGGAGGGAGGGAGGGAGGGA